ATATAATAATTTCTATACACTTGCACTTTCTGCCCAAGGGAAGGATGTAACGGGGGATTGTTGGTTCATTAAATATATTTGCCCTGATCCATTGTAATGAACGATGTCCTGCGTATTTCATTCTATTCCGCATCATTAAAATCTATGTTTTCTGTAACAGCGGAATTCTTTCTGTCCTCAGGCCTCATGTACAAACTTCCTTGTCTCTAAATTCGCTCCTTGCTTTTCTCTTCAAATGCTTCCCTTTTACATTTCATTTCATCATTAGATTATCTATTCCATAATTCTTCTGTAACTTTTTTCCTAATCGTTCTTCCTTTTTCCTTTCTTTCTAAGTTTCTTATTTGTTTTTTTTCATTTGTGGAAGTTTTTTTTGTCTAACCACTTTGTCCCATTATCTTTTCTTTTCTTTTTTCCTTATTCCTTTCCTTAGCAAACTGGTTTCCATTCAGCAAGTTTCATATCCGCTGCCATCTTCTGTGAATTGGTTTTCCCGCCATCTTTAATTTCTCTTCGGTTCTTATCTTTATCCCTTTAGTTTGTTGCTGCATTCATTCATTTCTAAAGCAGGCTGTTCCTTCCCAGTTACGATGACAGATGCTTCAAGAGACCTTTCCATTCGTCTTGGTCCGCCGCTAAACAGACAAGTTCAATGGTCTGAATTTCAAGAAGAGCCAATGCACATATATACATATATACCTGAACGGTAGCCATGAAACCGTCGTGAACCCCAAAACGGTCAGAGAACGCTATATTGAATTAATATAAAATCACAGCCGATTATTATAACCACTCGATGATTGGGAAACAGCTGTCACTGTTCAACCGGTCGGCAAACGAACTCACTTATGTGGGAGCCGGTGGTTGCCTACGATTCACAAGCAAACGGTTGATGACGATGAAGCAGAGTATAATTAACGTATTATACTAATTTACAATTTTTCTTGCTTCTAATTTGGTCGCATGACAACTTATGTAGTAAGTATTTATTCATAGATGTGAAACGGAGATGAGCATTTGCAACAGCAGCCTATGTGAAAACGGAGGAAGCTGTGTCAGCGTCGGTGAAAACTACCTGTGCATGTAACTATAGCTATTATTATTCGGCATCTAAGACTTCTTGTTATTCCTCTTGTATAGCTGTCCTCCGGGGGTGGACGGCAAGAACTGTGAGGTGTTGCCAAACCCTTGTGCCAATTCTGCGTGCAGCAACGGAGGTTCTTGTGTTGCGAATGAGTCAGAGACGAAGTGCATTTGCCCGAAAGGTAAGAGTGATTTCACACGATCCATTTTCACTACAACAGGTTTTCAGACTACACCGGTCCCATGTGTCAGTACAAAACAAGTGCTTGCAACGATGACTTGTGTTTAAATGGCGGAAAATGCTTAGAGAAGGATTCCAGGCCCTGGTGCTCCTGTTCCGCCGGTAAGTGAGCTTTCACAACCCCCTCTGCTGTTTTTTTCGTCAGAACTTTGCTGAACGACGATTACCTTTCAGCATTTACCGGTGAACACTGCGAGGTTGTAATCGATCATTGCCAGACATCCCCTTGTCCCTCGTTTTCTTCATGTGTGAACCGACCGGACGGTTTCTACTGTCAGTGTCCATTGAACGCCACCGGTGCAACCTGTAAGAAGAACGTTTCAACTGATTACGACCTGAATTTCATCGGCCGTTCTTCGCCTGCCTCTGCAGCTCTTGAGGTTCCATTTGTCCTCAAGGCCTCGGAGCTGACCATCGCCATGTGGGTCAGGTTCTCCCAGGCGGGAGAAAAAGCTACATTCTTTACCCTATATTCGAGCCGGTAATTTTGTTTTTTTTATGTACCTGCATCTGATTGCGCCTTCACTTTCCTAGGTCAGAATCTCAGCCTGCCGGCTTGAGGATGCTGCTGCAGTTGTCCAGCGAATCAGCTATGGTTTCGCTGTTCCGCGAGGAAGCCCCTTTGATACTCACGTTTTCTGCACACCAAAGAATCAA